ATTAAATTGTATGACTTTAGTCTAATTCATTCCCTGCATAAAGTGGACAAGATTATAACTTTGAATGCATATTGGAATTTCTTATATTTTTAATGTCATTAATAAATCGAAGAAAGAATTTCTACAGTTAGCCAAGATGAAAAAAACCCCCACAGTGTTATGACATTAAATGTAAATGATCCCAATACACCAGATTGGATAAAAATGCTAGATTCTATAAGTTTCTAATAAACTAATTGTAAATATAAAGAAACAGGCCAATTAAAGGTAAAAAGCTAGAAAGACACCGTGATTACGTAAATCAAATCTGGAAAGATTAAATTAATATCAAAGTAAATTTCAGAGCATATAATATTAACAGGGATCAAGAAAGTCAAATTACAGATATAAAAGTTAATTTATCAAAAACACAATGATCCTAAACATTTTTGAAATATATTTTTATTGATTTCAGAGAGGAAAGGACAGGGTGAAAAGAGAAACTTCAATATGAGAAAGAATCATTGATTGGCTGCCTTCTGCATGTCCCCATGTAGGGACTGACACACCAGCATGTGCCCTGGCCCTGACCTCAACATGAAGTCCATTGGCAATAGATTAGGGAGGTGGGAAAAACTAAACGGCATTGGGAGTGGGGCGGGGAGAACCTCTGGGATTGGATAGAAAGTAAAATGATAGACACATTTCTTAGGTGAGTACAGGATAGTTAACAGTCAACAACTAACAGGATAGCAATGATAATGAAGGAATTTGTGATATCTGTTCTGTGCCCAGGCATATTAGGTTGTGCCCCAAGGGGTCCAGAAAAAGGGGAGTTACAAGTTACCCAGACATTTCAAGGATATGTTATCTTAGATGAAAAAAACAAAACAAAAAGCCAGATAACAGGCTCAGTTAAGGTAAAGGCTGAGCTTGTCTGGGAAGATACAGCCCTAGGAGTGACTACCCATCATCACTGCTTTTATTTTAATTTCAGACCATCATCCTTTGTGAGGACTTTATAGAGTCTGCAAGACTGCCATGCAGGCCTCCCCTGAGCCATCAGGCCAGCATGTGGCCCTCCCATCCACAGAACTCACTGGGGATTTCCTCACTTTCATTTTTATGTTTTCTTTCAGATTGGGCTTTTTCTTTGTTTCTCTTGCTATTGTCCTTTGTTTCTCCCCTTCCTCTCACCCCTTGTTTGTATAGTTGAGAAACAATTCCATTCCTTCTTATCTTGGTAAAGGCTTAGCCGGACAAGACAAGATTGCATGTTTGCTCTGAGGTACTATGGGTTAATTAGCTGTGACTTTGTTTCCTCCTTTCACTGGACCCCCTGACTACACTTCTGAGCATGGTGTGGTTCTGTTTAGAATAGGTGGTATTGGGGGGATAGCTCTGCCTTAGGCTCTCCTTCCTGTGTCTTTAGAACTTGTTGTATCTTGTCCTGGCTCTTTCTACCCTGCTGAGGTGTAGTATCTTTTCAGGGCTCAGACCCTTCCTTCAACTTGGAATTAAACAGGTTCTGGTGTCCATGCCAAATTGGATATTTCTATCCAAACTAGAAGATAGTTATTAAAATTTTCAAGGTTTACTCCTTCACCCATTTTTCTCATTATTGCTTCCAGGAAATGTAATCAGGCGAGGATAGGAGCCAGACCATACTGCATACTATACAGAATGTTTCTGGCCACTACTTTCTTTCTTTCTTCTTTTTTTTTTTTAAATAATGGATGTGAGTCACCATCGTTAGTTTATTAACTTTTTAAAAAATATATATATCATTGATTTTGTACAGAGAGGAAGGGAGAGAGATAGAGAGTTAGAAACATCGATGAGAGAGAGTCATCGATCAGCTGCCTCTTGCACACCCCCTACTGGGGATATGCCTGCAACCTAGGTACGTGCCCTTGACCGGAATCGAACCCGGGACCCTTTAGTCCCCAAGCCGACGCTCTATCCATTGAGCCAAACCGATTTCGGCTCTTTTTTTTTTTTTTTTTTAATTAATTTTCCCCATCATCATTGATCCCCTCTGTACCCTCCTCTATCCATTCCTCTCCCCCTGCAATCTCTATACTGTTGTCCTTATCCATGAAATTTTTTTCTTTTTTTTCCTTTTTTTGCTCAATTTCTCTACCTTCCAGTAACCCTCCCCTCCCCCCACAGCTGTTTAGTTTAAACAGTTTCTTGTTTGCAGCTGGTGGTTTTTGTTCATTTTTTGTTTGTTTGTTTGTTTGTTTTAAATCCTCACCAGAGGATATGTTTCCATTGATTTTATTTTTTAAAAAATATATATATTTTATTGATTTTTTACAGAGAGGAAGGGAGAGAAATAGAAAGTTGGAAACATCCATGAGAGAGAAACATCAATCAGCTGCCTCCTGCACATCCCCCACTGAGGATGAGCCCCCACAACCATGGTACATGCCCTTGACCTGAGTCAAACCTGGGACTGACCTTTCAGACCACAGGCCGATGCTCCATTCACTGAACCAAACCAGTTAGGGCTGTTTCCATTAATTTTAGGGAGAGAGGACAGAAGAAAGAAAAACATGGATGTGATAGAGAAATATCGATTGGTTGGGGATTGAAACCGCAACCTGGAGTATGTGCCCTGAACAGGATTTGTACCATGACCCTTCAGTGCACACAATGCCGCTCCAACCAACTGAGCCACGTGGCCAGACCAGCTGGATTTTTGGCTAAAAAAAAAAATACACACTTTCACACCTACATACATATGTATGTGTATTTTTCCTTTTTATTAGTTATTGGGGACAGGAAATTCGATGATTCTGCTTCAGCCTACCATCTTTACTTGAAAGTCTGTGTGATTTCCTAAATATTATTTTTGACATAACACATATGCACTTTAAAACTGATAATTCTAAAGGTCAGGGATGATTTGGAACCAAATTTTTAACTAAATAAAATTAACAAATTAAAAACAATATAAGATACTAAGCTTAAAAATATCAATGACCTTAAAGCATGCATATTTCTTTCATTTGCATTCTCTTGGGTATGCTTTTATAAAATTTGTATATAACTGCAATAAACATATAATGACCGTATTTTAATGTTAGGGTAAACATTTTAATATTTTTTATCTCATCTTTTTAACCTCATCATATGTCATATCATAATTTATTAAACAGTTACTCAAATAGAAGACGTTGTTTCTAGTTTTATGTCTTTGTGTGTGCATTTAACCTTTTTGTGTTTATTGTATTACCTTTAAAATAGAAAGGTTCAGATTAATGGACTAATCAACTTTATTAAATCATTATACTTCTTACACTGGCACTAAACAGAGTCTATTTATATTACTGGATAAAAATTATTTTGAGATTGTTGCCTAAAATGACAGCTGAGCCCTAACAGGTTCCGCTCAGTGGATAGAGTGTCAGGTGCCTGTAGATTGAAAGGTCCCAGGTTTGTTTCTGGTCAAGGACATGCACCTTGATTGTGGGCAAATCCCCAGTAAGGGGTGTGCAGGAGGCAGCTGATCGATGATTCTCATTGATGTTTCTAACTCTCTATCCCTATCCCTTCCTCTCTGTAAAAAATCAATAAAATATATTTTTTTAAAATGACAGCTGATATCTCAGCCTTTAATGCTATCAGATTTTTGGGGCTATTGTATTCTTTCTTACATCCTTCTAATGACTTGAATAATGAAAGTTTAAAAAAATGTATTATAGTCCCTATAAGATAATGTATGCTTATAAAAAAAAAAAATCACATGTTAGTGTTTTTAAAGGAGATAGTACCCAAAGTGAAAAAAATATTTTGGGTAAAAATTAAAAGATATGCTATAGAAGTATGTTTTTTGTTGCTGTTTTTAATAGTCTTTGGTATTCTAATTTTATTATTGATCTTGCTATCATCCATAGTCTAGGTTTATAAAAGTGTTCATTAAGAGTCTTATAAGAATCATGAGTAGCTTTTGGGCTTTGCCACATTTAATTATGTAAGAATTCTAGAGGCCCGGTGCATGAAATTCGTGTATGGTGTGTTGGGGATGTCCCTCGGCCCATCCTGCACCCTCTTCAATCTGGGACCCCTCGAGGGACTGCCTGTTTAGGCCTGATCCCACCAGGACCGGGCCTAAATGGGAAGTCGGACATTCTTCTCACAATCCAGGACTGCTGGCTCCCAACTGCTCACCTGCTTGCCTTCCTGATTGCCTCTAACCACTTCTGCCTGCCAGCCTGATCACCCCCTAACCACTTCCCTGTCAGCCTGATTGATGTCTTACTGTTCCCCTGACAGCCTGTTTGCCCCCAACTTCCCTCCTCTGCTGGACTGATCACCCACTACTGCCCTCCTTTGCAGGTCTGGTCCCACCAACTTATGTGGTGGCCATCTTGTGTCCACATGGGGGCAGCCATCTTGTGTATTGGAGTGATGATCAATCTGCACATTACTCTTTCATTAGATAAATAGAGGCCTGGAGCATGGGTGGGGGCCAACTGGTTTGCCCTGAAAGGGTGTCCTGGATCAGGGTGGGTGGGGATTCCTTTGGGGTGTGGCGTGGCCTGGGTGAGGGGCCTGTGGTGGTTTGCAGGCTGGCCATGCCCCCCTGGCGACCCAAGTGGAGGCCCTGGTATCTAGGATTTATTTATCTTCTGCAATTGAAACTTTGTAGCCGGGAGCGGAGCCAAGCCTTCTGCTTGTTCTGTGGTGGCAGCCATTTCTGTTGGGATTTATTTAACTTCTATAATTGAAACTTTGTAGCCTACTTGGGCCAGCCAGGGTGTGCAGAAAGCTTGGTGTCCTCCATCGCAGGGGAAACCCAAGCCTCCCTCCTGATCTCTCTGTGGCCGAATCCATCTTGGGTTAATTTGCATACTCATGCCTGATTAGCATTTGGGCGTGTCTTATTGGTGAAGCAGAGTTATGGTTAATTTGTATATTACTCTTTTATTAGGTTGGATGCATTCATATTATGTAACAATCAATATAATTATCCTTATTTAGGAATGTTTAATCTATTTTTATTCTCTCCTCAGATTCTGTCAAATTTTAAGAACAAATGTACTTTATAGCTCATGGAAGAAAAAACACAAATCAAGACATATTTGGGTTCCAAGTTGCCAAAGTATGGAACAAAATCTGTAAGAAGTACACTGCAGCCAATGCCAACTGGGACACCTGTTAATTTATTGGGAACTTCCAAAACTAGCAGCATCAAAAGTTACATAAAAAATAATGGCTCTGATTGTCCATCATCCCATTCATTTAATTGGAGAACAGCAGCTAAATACCAGCTTAGTGCACCAAGTGCTGAGGAACCTAACGATACTCAAAGTTCACATGATAAAGTAATTGATCCTGCAAAACATCCACCTGCTCAAGGAATGTTTGCTAAAAATGGGATAAAGGGAGATATGAAAGGTGTTTCTTTTCCATCAAACTTAGCAAAGCCATCTACCATGTTTGTGTCATCTACAGAGGAATTAAAACAAAAGTCTTTGTCTGGACCATCCAGTTTGGGTAAATTCACCAAAGGCACAATATTAGGAAGGACTTCATATTCTCTAGTCAGTGCTCCAACATCGCAGTTGAGTGGGTTTTATGTAAATCGATCAGCTAGTAGCATACAGAGGCCTAGAGCAAACTCCTGTGCTACCAGAAGCAGTTCTGGAGAAAGCTTAGCACAATCCCTAGATAATATTAAATCTCTTACTTGTGAAAAAATGGTAAGGTCACAGAGTTTTTCACATTCCATTCAGAATTCATTCTTTCCACCTTCATCTATAACCAGATCACATTCCTTCAATAGAGCTGCAGATCTTAAGCCTTATCAGAATCAACATCTACCCATTAGAATACCTCTGAGGACAAGTATGCTAACAAGAAATTCCCAGCAGTCTGAACTTCTCAATGGGCATGAACATTTAGGGTATGGATTTAATAGGCCTTATGCTGCTGGTGGAAAGAAGTTGGCGTTATCAAATGGCCCAGGTGTAGCTTCCACTGGGTATAGGATGGTCCATCCCTCTCTACTGAAATCTAGCAAATCTCCATTTTCTGGGACTATCACAGTTGATGGTAATAAAAATTCACCTGCTGGCACATGTGTAGAGGAAGATACTGAACTTTTGGCTAAGGACAGAGCTACCAACAAGGACCCAGGACTAATTGAAAATAATAGTGATAGAACAGAAAATGGCCAGACCATGAAGCATGATGCTAAAATTAGATACCTGAGTGATGATGTGGATGACATTTCCTTATCTTCTTTGTCATCTTCTGATAAGAATGATTTAAGTGAAGACTTTAGTGATGATTTTATTGACTTAGAAGACTCCAACAGAGCTACAGTAATTCCAGAGGAAAATTCTCACAAAGAAGAAAAACATAAAAATACACCACCAATGGATATATTTGGTTCCCCCACGGAAAATGAAAAATCCTTCAGTAAAGCTGATGAGTGGATGGATAAAAGTGTTTCTGGTAAATATTAATATCCTTAAGTTTATTTGCTTTCTCCTAGATTATATAACTGAAGTTATATTTAGGATTATCTTCTGATTAATTCCATAAAACTATCAATTTCATATAGGATGGATCTAGATAAAATAGAAATGTGGCAACATTTTTATTTCTTGTGACTTTTGTTCCCCATCCTATTTTTCACTTTATGTATAACATCAATGAAAACATTATCCTAAAGTTTCTTACCTTTTTCTGTTTTGGCTGTCCCACACAGGCTTATTCCTACCTACTTCAAAAAGCTCCCTGTCCCCACTTCTTCCAACAGGTGGCATGCCATTTTAAACCATCTCTTTTCTTAGGGGTAGTAAATCATTGCTATTTGTTAAGAGTGAAGTTATACTGCTGAAACCGGTTTGGCTGGTGGTAGAGCGTCGGTCTGTGGACTGAAAGGTCCCGGGTTCGATTCCGGTCAAGAGCATGTACCTTGGTTGCGGGCACATCCCCGGTAGCGGGTGTGCAAGAGGCAACTGGTTGATGTTTCTCTCTCATCGACGTTTCTAGCTCTCTATCTCTCTCCCTTTCTCTCTGTAAAAAATCAATAAAATATATTTTAAAAAAAAAAGAGTGAAGTTATACCAAAGGTAAATGAGCAGTTATGTCTAATCTAAAGAATTTTCTTATCCTAGGAAATTTTAATTTTTTTAATGGAAGACTTAGATTTCTTGTTATAGCAAGCTTTTTATAGTTAATGTTTTAAAGAATATGTATTTATTGGTTTCAGAGAGGAAGGGAGGAGAGAGAGAAAAATATCAACAATTAGAGGAAATCATTGATTGGCTGCCTCCTGCACGATTCCCTACTGGGTATCGAGCCTACAACTCTGGCATGTGCCCTTGACCGTAATCAAACCTGGGACCCTTCACTTCATAGGCTGATGCTCTATCTCCTAAGCCAAACCAGCCAGAACTATAGTTTATACTTTCAGAAAAACCTTTATTTTTTTTAATTGAGGAAACTGAGATGGCACATGTTAAACATTTATTTTTGGTTATCTTAGCACTAAAAGCCACAGAAAATTTATCTGTGTGCCCATATAGTCTGAAAATAGAACAATTTGAAGGGTAAGGCATGTGGCCTGGTCAAGGCACTAGGCCATACTTAGAGATGTACAGAACCTGTGACTGCCTGAGAATCTTCTGTTAGGAATGACTGCCTGCAGAACTTGTTTCCTGGGGGAAGGAGTTTCCCAGCCAGCGTTTAAATGTAAATATATTAGGAGCTATTAAGGGAATATTAGGCTTTACTTTCATTTCTAGAAATGTTGCAGAAGTGAAAGATGGCTCAGTGAATTTTATTTATATTGGTAAACATTTCAGTAGGTTATTTTTGAGATTTTACTTCTGGATTTATTTGTTGTTTAGAAGTTAGAAAATGCTATATTTATTAATGATTTTTGCTATAATATATCACATTTTTATCTTGTAATATTTATAAAAATAAGTTATATTTTTGGAACCTGAAAAATAATTATATTTTTGTGAATTAATAACTGTTTTCTCTCTCTTTTAAAAAAAATCAATTGAAGACAGGAGTGAAGGTACAAAACATACTTCTGGGAGTAACTTGGTTTCACCAGATACGGATTTCAGAGCTGGTTCTTCATTTGAACTCTCTCCATCTGATAGCTCTGATGGAACATACATGTGGGATGAAGAGGGCTTGGAGCCCATTGGAAATGTCCACCCAATTGGGAGCTATGAGTCCTCCGAAATGAATAGCATAGTACGTATGGTTTCTATACACTTTTGGAATGGTTTATCTTACTGCAGGGAGACTCGTGATACTGACTGGGTTATTTTTTAGGTACTGAATTAACTCTCCAAGTTGGAGAATGGAAATTTATATATGTCAAGGGCCTGTAAAATATCTGATCTTTATACACTGTAAAGCATATATTTGTGTCATGTGACGTGAATTAAATATACTTTCATACACATCTTTGTAATACACATATACATAGAGACATCAAGATAGGCTAATGCTTCTCAAAGTGGTGGTGGTGGGGGGAGGGCAATGTTGAGATCCGATAAAAAAATTGAGGGTAGACACCAGGAATGCTGCTTAATGTTGCCATTCTTTGGTGAATGCTCCTAACGCACAGAACAGCACCCACAGCAAAGATGTATCCTACCCACGATGTCAGTAGTGCTTCTGTTGAGAAACCATCAGGTAACATTAAGAGCCAACTTTCAGGGCTTAATGCAATAAAAAAATATTTTTTATTCTTACAAAATCAGTTGTAGGTATGAACAACTCTCGGGTAGCTGTCGTGCGTGTTCTAAGCTGTCTTAACCTTGGGGCTTTACCATCTCCTTTAGAGGTTCTGTTTTGTCATTGTGGTAGAGGAAGAATGCCTATGGGTCTAAAATGTGCAATTACTTGTTTTGGCCTGTAGATGGCACATAGAACTTGCACATAAAACTATTGAGCCAAACTAGTGTTATGTAGTACTAAGAAATTTTCCTGTTGCCTGAAAGGCAATGAAGCCAGATATGGATGAGTACTAGAAGACCTGCTATTCATCTATACATGCAAATTTTAAGAAACATTGCAAGTAATGTGTATGATATGCTCTATGAGTAAAGTGTAGTTGGTATATTTAAAGGGACTCATTATACTTAATATATAGTAGTAAATATATGGTTTTCCAGTAGGTATATAGGAAATTGGTAGTCTTTGTGCATTTACTAAATTCCAGGCAATGTAATTTTGTTGTTAATCCTCACTAGAGGGCATATACTTTTTCCCATTGATTTTCAGAGAGAGTGGAAGGAGGAGGGGAAGTAAGAGAGAGAGAGAGGGTCAAGAAGAGACAGACAGACAGACAATGATTGATCAACCCAGGTTGTGTGATGTGCAGGCCGACTACTGTACCGTACCATCCAGGGTCAGGCAATGTAATTCTATACTCATACTAATGACCCAGCATGGGAAATCACGCGAGACCAGGGACCCCCGAGTCCTGCTGGCGCTGTGGGACCCAGAGTTAAGTCCTGTCCACCTGTGTGTGCTTTGCTACACATGAAACCCACCCAGCCACGCATGCCTTGTTGCACATGCAACCTCCTGGTGACTGGTCTTTGGTCGTTATGGCATTACGACCACTGCATTTTTATTATATAGATAAACCTGTAACTTGGAAAAAATAAGCATCGTTACCAAAGGTTTAGGTTTCACAAACAGAGAGAGGATACAGATTTAATTCAGAGAGACTGTTTCTATCCTATTAGATGAAGGAAGTTAAGAAAAGAGTATGACTTATGGCCTTAATTGCTTTTTTTTCTTTTCTTTTTTGAATGTTTTTGTTTTGTGAGTTTTTAAAAATGTATTTTATTGATTTTTTACAGAGAGGAAGGGAGAGGAATAGAGTTAGAAATATCGATCAGCTGCCTCCTACACACCTCCTACTGGGAATGTGCTCACAAACAAGCCCTTGACCTGAATCGAACCTGGGACCTTTTAATCTGCAGGCCAGTGCTCTATCCACTGAGCCAAACCAGTTAGAGCCTTATGTGTTTTCTTATTACTACGACTTTCTAAAGTGACTGATTGAAATAGAAATGAACATTATGTCCAGCAGATGGCAGCAATAAGCCACTTAGTACCTGACATTTCTTAGTTCGCCATCTTTAGTTACTCATTGCGCTTTTTGTCTTAAGGCCTCTTTTTTCCGATAACAGTATATTTCACCAGTTTTATTTACATATTTTTTAGCCTTTTCTTGTAAAACTTTTTGACACCTAGCAAATAGGTTATTATTTTTTAAATGCAGGCTTTTTCTTTTAACCTGTGAGTTTAGTCCCTTTATGTTGCATTTATTGATATACTGGGACTTCATTCTGCCATCTTATTATTTTATTTAAATCGTTTCACTTTCTCTGTTTTTTTTTTTTTTTCTTTCTCCTTTCCCCCCTAAAGTAGTCTAAATGAATATCATTATTTTAAAATGTTCTCATTTTCCTTGGTTTCTCTATTGCTTCTCACCAAAGGCCTTTCCTGACCCTCATGTCTGTCATCTCTGTGGCCTTCCATTCGCTCCCTCTCCCCTTCAGCCACCACCACAGTTGGCTTGTCTCTACAGCAGTGCTCCTTCCAGCTCAGGTGGAGGTAAGGAGCTTTCAGGGGAATGTAAGTCAAATGGTGTCACTACTCATACAGCTTATTTCAGCCCACTATTTAGTACAGTTAACACTGTTTTTCATAGCAAGGAAATGCATTGTGGTGCAAGCTCCTTATCATAGATCCTAAATACACTGTGTGGACTGACTTTATTGCATAGCACTTAATCTAGAATCTAGGCTATTTTTTTGTTTAAATACAGTATTTTGTTGAGATAATTTACATACAATAAAATGCACAAATCATTTTCTTTTTTTAAATTTTTTTAAAACAAATTTTTATTGTTCATATTATTACAAATGTTCATTCCCCCCCTCCATTGCTCTCCTCCACCAGGTTCCCATCCCACCCTCTGCCCTTTCCCCACCCTCCATTGTCCTCATCCATAGATGCACAGTTAATGTTCAGTCTCTTCCTACATCCCCCTCTCCCCTTTTCCCCAAGAATCGTCAGTTCACTCCCCTTCCATACCTCTGATTCTATTATATTCACCAGTTAATATTGTTCATCAGATTTTTTTTTAATTTGGTTTTTAGAGTCACTTGTTGATAGTTACGTATTTGTTGTTCATAATTTTTATCTTTATTTACTTTCTCTTCCGAAAGAACCCCCTTCAGCAATTCATATAATTCTGGTTTGGTGGTGATGAACTCCTTTAGCTTTTTTTTATTAGTGAAGCTTTTTATCTGGTCTTTGATTCTGAGTGATAGCTTTGCTGGGTAGATTATCTTTGGCTGTAGGTTCTTACTATTCAACACCTTGAATATTTCTTGCCATTCCCGTCTGGCCTGCATGGTTTCTGTTGAGAAATCAGCTGACAATCGTATGGGTGCTCCTTTATAGGTAACTACCTTCTTTGCTCTTGCTTCTTTTAATATTCTCTTTGTCTTTTGCTCTTGGAATTTTAATTATGATTTGTCTTGGTGTGGTCCTCTTTGGATTCCTTTTGTTTGGAGTTCTGTGCGCTTCCTGGACTTGTAAGTCTAATTCTTTCACCAGGTGGGGGGAGTTTTCTGTCACTATTTCTTTCAGTATGTTTTTGATATCTTGCTCTCTTTCATCTTCTGGGACCCCCAAAATTCTGATGTTGGTTCGCTTGAAGTTGTCCCAGAGGTTTCTTACATTATCTTCAATTTTCTGGATTCTCTTGTCTTCTTGCTTCTACGGAGGAGTGTCTTCTGGCTCTTTATGTTCGAAATCTTTTACTTGATTCTTGCGATCTTCCATTCTGTTTTTAGGACTCTGTATAATATTTTTTATTTCAGACAATGTATTCTTTATTTCTTGTTGATCCCTTATCATTTCTCGTTGATTCCTTATTAATTCTAGTTGATCCCTTTTCATATCCTCATAGGTCTTATCGACCTTTTCTAGGAAATTCTTGAAAAACCTTCTAAGCGTAGATTTGAATTCTATATCCAGTCACTTTTTGTCCTCCATTTCTTTTGTTTGTATTTTGTATTTCGTTGTTGCATTTTCGCAGCTTCCTTGATGGGGTGGAGTTTCAGGGTGGAGCCTACAGCCTTGGCTTCCGTCAGCCCCACCCTGTGTGGTTCCTGAGTCTCAGGGTCCTTCAGTACTTGCTGTAAGCACCTCTGAGAGATAGGTGCCCTCGATTTTCGCCTGCTACCAAACAGTCTAGGCTCTCCCCCAGTGGGCCTAGAACTGAGGTTCAGTTCAGTTGGAAGTGGAGTTGGAGGTGGCGTTCAGAGCAGTCTGGAGCTTTTGTCTCCTTCCTGCCAGGGCAATCCCGCAGCACAGCCAACCATCCAGTCACTGTGTGCAATATGTGCACCTCTGGGACCTCCTTTCGCTGCTCCCCCAGAGTTCCACCTTACAGCCCAGCTCCCTATGGATGAGCCTGGGCCCCCGGGATCTGGCCTAGAACTGGGGTTCAGAGCAGTTGGATCTGGGGCCCAGCACAGTCAGAGCTTTTATCTCCTTCCCGCTAGGGAACGCCAGCCAGGCACTCAGCCGCCCCTCCTCTCCGGCTCCGTCCTCTCCGCGCGCGCCTTATGTCTCCGTACCTTAGGCTTTTACAGCTCCTCCGCGCTTCCTTCTGGTTTTCTCCTTGCTTCTCGTTGTAGAATTTCCAGTCAGTCGACTTTCCTGTAGCTCTGGGCAATGTCCATTTTATATTTTAGTTGTATTTTATTGAAACTGTTGTGTGTGGCTGCGGGTAGGTGTTTACCTGTGCAGCCATCTTGGATTCTCCGCACAAATCATTTTCATACAGCACAGGGAATTTGAAAATTTGTGTATATTTAACAATCATTTACATGTTTCCTGTAGCTTTTCAATCATTCAACCCTCACTAGAGGCATCACCACTATTTATATACTTATTTTTTTTTAAAATATGTTTTTATTGAGTTTTAGAAAGAGAAGAGGGGAGTGGAATAGAGAGATAGAAACACTGAAGAGAGAGAAACATCATCGATTGGCTGCCTCCTGAACACCGCCTACTGGGAATCGAGCTCACAACCTGGGCATGTGCCCTGCGAAATCAAACCTGCGACATCTTGGTTCATGGGTCGATGCTCAACCAGTGAGCTGCACTGGTGGGACAGTTTGCCTATTCTTGAATTTCATATAAGTGCAATT